TCCATGTGATGCTAGGCGGATTGTGTACTTTTCAATGAATCATTATTATCATCATCATCACATTTTTATACAATTAATCGAAATGTGTTGTTGTGCTGTTATATATATTAATTTCTTTCTAATTTTGTTAAACCTTCATAATATTGGATTAGCATAGCGTTGCAGTAGATCTGTGGCTGATTGGTCTAAGCGCTCAACTTCCAACCAATGGGTCAGAGGTTCGAACCCAGTCCTAAGCATATAGGTGGTAATAGCAGTGGAAGTTGTAGTAACATGGTCTCTGAATATCTGTGTGTCAGTTTGATTCCTTGGTAGAATGGTCACCAACTATGGACCTGATTTTGGTTCAATTTCAGGCTGCCATACTCCTGGACGTCACGCAGCTGATAGTGAACCCGGTATAGAGGCAAGAAACCCTGCTCCATAGAACAACACCACCACTATTGAAGCTCCAAAGTTGAAGCGTGAAGCCCTATATTCCACTCGAAACCCAAAAGAATGAAGACAACTGAGTTGTCTATCGGCTGGCCTCGTAACCGGAAGCGCCTGGGTTCGAACTCCGGTGGGCGCATACTGATGAAGAGTCATAGACCAGGACGAAACAGCTGCCCCGTACTCCCAGGTTTTCCAGTGGTTCTTTAACTGATGTCAGCTCTTGATCAATCCTGTAATAGTTATCTTTTGAAAAAATAGGCGCCTATATTACAACAGTTGTATATTAGAGTAGGACTTATGTATGCACTGTTTTCACATCATGATTATCCTTTCTACCTTATTGCAGATTAATTTAAATACTAGTGGTTCTGATTAGGTTAACTATGATTGTATATATAATATTCATATGACTAGCCGACTAAATTTCGATGTAAAACTTTGCACAGAATTGTGGCAGTTCAAGCTGCCACACTCCGTATATAGCACAAAAAGGTAGAGAAAAGAGGAAAAGAAAGTCAAAAGAACTTGTATGAGCAGAAGTGTACGGGAGAAAGAATGGTGACATGGGAAAAACACGAAAGGGGATTACAAAGAGTGAATGCATCTGCCCCACTGGAAACGATTTGGAACCATAATACCAGTGTTTCCAATCCATTAGTTCTTAGCATCCCGAGGATACCAACAGGGTAGTCTAGGCCTCCATACATGGTTAGCTCAAATCAGCTGTCAATGACTTTACGTATTGATATCGTGTTTTGATTTTTATCATTGCTTACCCTTTCATAATCTGCTCTGATGTCAGCTAAGATACATCGTCGAGGGTATTTTGATCTAATAAACTATTAAGGCTTTTTTTGCATGTACTGGTTAAAACCAGTGTTAAATATTTCTCAACGGTCACTACATGGCTATCCAAACTGACTGAGTGTGGACTGTCTAAACAATGAATTGGTTTCCTATTTCGTAATATTTGTAAGTAATACAAAACTATCATCCTTCAATTAATAGTGTATATTACAGGATTTTCATCATGAGCTGAAATTAGTTAGAGAACCATTGGAAAACCTGGGAGTACTGGACAGCTGTTTCGTCCTATTTTGGGACTCTTCATCAGTACGCACCCGCCGGGATTCGAACCCAGGACCTTTTGGTTTACAAGGCGAGCTCGTATACCATTAAGCCACTGGGACCCGATTCAACGGCACATGAATTCTAACTTCTGCCAATTCACGACATAGCGCGAACCCCAGCCAATGTCTTCGGCGAGTACTTATTCTCACACCCGACCTGCTGCACCCTACTGGTCACGACTTCTCACTAGAAATAGAATAGTGTATATGTTAACCAACACTGACCACAAAACTACAGCTACCTTTTTGTCTGTTGGTACACGATTAATGAACAAGGAACAAAATGTACAGTCTTATATTGAATAAAAGCATTTCGTGTGTATTGCTCTTAGTATTAAGGCTGTTTTTCGTACCATTATCTCTTGGACTTCCTATTTGTATCTCGTGGTTTATTTGGTAGAATGCTGGATTATTTATTCGGAGGTTGGTTGTTGTTTCAAAATCTTACTGCGATCCCATTTTCCATTTGAAACTTTACTATCACCCCAAAACTTAGGTTATGTAAAATATTCTCAACGTCATTTCAGTATTAGCTTTTGTTTTGATAAATAACACAAGGAATTCCATACTAGATGATGCACAGTCGTATATCACTAATAACCGGATGACGTTTCAAGCGTAGTTTATTGCTCATAATAATATCAGTGTACTCAGAGGAGTTGTTAACTTGCCTCACTTCTTACTTTTTTTCTGTCATTACATTATTACTGTTATTGTTGTTCCCTTGGGTTCCGAGTGGAATATAGAGCTTCAACCATACATCTCCATTTTGTTCTATTTTCTGCTGTCCTCTTCAGCTGAGTCCACGATTTCCCATAATCTCTCATCTCTTCTTCGCACGATCTCCTTCATTCACCTTCGAACCCAAACACAGCTGGGATTCCACTCGAGTGATGGCATAGCCTGTGATGAAGTTAGATTTCCTCAGAGTATGTCCAATCCAACTCCATTCTCTCCTACATATTTGTTGAACGATAGGCTCTTGGTTTGTTTGTTGTAAGACTTCAGTATGAAGCCAGAGAAGGAGGCAGCTGTTGATGAAAGTCTTCATTAGCCTGTTGGAAATGTGTTTCGTGATGTGCAGTGCAAGTTTCTGACCATATAGAATAAGTGACCAACTGGCTGAGTGACTTAACGTTGCTGTTGAAAGGTCGAATCTTGTTGTTTATTCTGGCTGAGTGCAGAAGATTTCCAGATCCATTTCAGATTGATGAAGGTGTATCTTACCTTTCCGAATTCGAGCTGTCTTTGACATCATCCGTGCTGTTGAAACGATGCTTCCTAGATAAGTGATGGAAGTGATCTCTTTCAAGTTTTTCTTGTTGATAGTGATTGGTGCTGCTTGTTGTTGTTGTTGCTTTTGGTTGGTTGTCTTCATCACCTGTGGTTCCCTTATGTTCAGCTGAAGTCCTGCCTTTGCTACCTTCTTCTTCAACCAGTAAAATTGTTGCATCATTTCGATCTCACGTGTGTGCTGTTGGTTTGATGAAAATAGGTTCTGTAATTATCGTCTCTCTCTCAACCTAACTATAATAAATTTTAATGCCTTCAACCCATCCCCCTCTATTATTGGGTGATTATATGCAAGTGAATGTATAACATTAGGCGGTCTGTTTGCCAGGTTATTTAACTACTCAGGATCAATCGTTATACGTCTAACTAAATTCCTATGCTCCGATAATCTAATCGACCATGACCTACTAGTTTGACCTATATAATTGACCTCAGAAAGTCATTACATAGTGTTTGGTAAATTTATATTGTTTTTATTAACTGGATCTATTGGGCCCTTTAACAAATAAAGTTTATCTCTCAGAGAGTTGGCTGGTTTAAATGCCCTCAGCATTATTAAGAATCCTACATAGGGCCTTAGATGTCCCTTCCTTATATGGCAGTACTATTTTACTTATAATTAGTAATGATAATAACAACAATCAATTATGCTTAGAACCTAATCCAGTCAATAATACTGTTTCACTGTGTCCTACATTTAATCAACATATTCCCACACCGTCCAAATTTTTGTATTAATCATCTCAGCAGGTATTTAAAAAAGATAATTAAACTGACTCTTGTTTCTGCGTTTAAGGTTATGCAGATATTTTAATATCTTGGTTATGTTGAAGCGAATGATATTCAACTCCATCTGTTTGTTTTTTTGGTGAGATGGAGGTAGGGTAGGGGGTTGGTGTTGTTGTCGTTCATTCACTCATTCAATCAATCAATAATTCATGTTGTGTTGGTCAACTGTAGTGTTAACTATTCGAGAGAAAAAAGGTATCTACTTCATTTTTGTTTTATTTGTTTCCTTTACAAAATAAACAAACGAATATTCATCAATTAGAGGTAATGAATACCACACAAGCAACATACTTGCACACACACACTAATATGTTTACTGTCCTCTTTTTTCTGATTTTTTTGACTCTGTTCTGACCTTAAGTTCGTTTTTCATTGTTATAATTTGTTCTGTTTTGAAAATCAGCTTTAATTCGTGAATTTTTAACCTGATAAAATTTTTAACCTTGAGTGATGAATAAAAGTGGGCTCGGGAAAATCAAACAGCTGATTTACCTGGGGGGGGGGATAAAAGTAATCAAAGGGTGTTTTCGCGCATAGCATATCAAAACCCATCACAGATGATATTCCAGCTGTATGAAAAAAGATCCATAAAACACCTCCAAAACAGCCAAATGTGTAACATCTGGTGTGATTACAGCAATTCCCCTTTAAGCATGCATTGTACGGAATCTCATAAAACCAAACTACCTGAGGAAATTCAAGTGGCAACTGATCACCTCCCCCTCCATGTTATACCCATTCAAGTAGGCAGAAATGATAAAAATGAAAATATTTACATGCTTACCCAACACTCATCCCGTCATTTAGTAACTGAGTGAAATTAGTTGTGCTACACTAAATGAAAATGAATAGCGACCATGCCGTGTGGACGTCCCAATGGCCTTGAACACATACAGTTCGTTGTATTGCTGAACCTGCCCTTATTACAGAGCCAGTATGAGCGCTGTGCACGAACTGATGTGCAAATATCATCCTGACCTCGTTTATAAGTACTGTTGGGGTTAAGATTATTATTAGGGTTGTGGTTAAGGTTAGGCGAAGGATTATGGTTAAGGTAAGGTTTAGGGTTAGAATGTTTCATTATTATTATGTGCATACTTCTTTTAAATAAATAATTGGGAGGGGTTTTCGTTGTTCATATATATATATGTATATGTATATATATATATATATATATATATATATATATATATATATATATATAGATGTATATAACCGTTTTGATAGCTGTGAAACTTGGAAACTGATATCCTTCATTGTAATTGGGAAGTATTTTTGAGTTACGTCGGGGGTAAAATATCATCTTTAATGTGCTTCATTGTTTCTATGTTAATTTATCTTGTATATAAACGGCTTTTTGATGTAGAATGTACGGCAGATTCTGCAATCCAACGAATGGTATGCGTTCAAGGTTATCGGTGCATTCGCTCTCCGTAGTCGATATTCTTTATGTTTGTCGTTAGTTGATAATAAGATGTTATGTATAGTTTTGAATTTCTCTCACTTTTGCCGTTCAATTTCACATCGGCAACGTTTATAAGGACTTTCAGTTGAATTGAATAAATTCCTTTTGTGAAACTGTGATTCATTGGTCTAGACACTCGATTTTCAACCAGTAGCAGTAGAAATGGGGCATGAATTTGGCCTCTTGAATTTTCGAAACGCATTCGCATATCTGTTAATTCCATTGGCTAAATGTCTAGCTATTGATATAATTCATTTTCCATTCACACGTGAATAGAGCTTATTCTTAGAAACTATCTATTATAATGTATGCAGCATGTGTTGCTACGCTTTCATCGATGAGTCATAGTAGTGGATTTAGGATTAAGTTGGAAAAAAAGTATTGGGGTAGTCAAAACAAAATATAGAGTTCATTCATAAAATTATTGACTGTTAGTTACTCTGAGCTGTCCAATTATGTATAGTTAACTTGTCTGGGGTAGTCAGGAGTGCCAAGAGTCAATTGTTGTTGTTGTGGTACCCGAAAATGTTTTATTTTCCAGGTTTATAAGCCGTTCAATTATTGCATAAGGGTTGAAGTAGATAGAGTCGGATTCGAACCCGAGATCTACTCGCCAAAAACCGAGTGTGTAAGCCAGTAAGCACCATCTCTACCCGTATTTACTAGCTCTGTTGTAAGGAATCAGTGTACTACTGTATTTTTTTATCCTTCACTTTCCCAGTGTAACATAGGGCCTCAACTTAGTGGCTTGAAGTTTCTGTAGCAGTGTTTATTTTACAGGATGGGTTGATGGCCTCATGCCCAACCTTTCCTCTTCATCAGCATTATTTCTGGCTTAGCGAGGTAAAGGAGTGCGTCGGCCGAGGATCGAACCCCGGACCATGTGCATGGTCGGCGAGCGTCCTAACCGCTATACCACCGACGCACATACTACTGTATAAACATACATAATCCAACTTATGTACTGGATGACGAATTTCATAGTCTCTGCAACAGATCACGGAAAGCTGGCATGTGTCACTTATATATTCTCTACCTATTTCTTCAGGAAATAATTTTTGTCGAGTGAAACTAATCCACATACATACATCAAACATTTTCATATGGAGGAGTAGTTCATCAAAATCTAATAGCTCTGTGACTGAAATTGATCTCAAGATAACACTGATGAAACAAAGCTTAGACAAACACATACCATACACTTAGTTTTTGTATTCTCATCACACTCTTATCTTGTCACAAAAATATCCAGATTAATCTGTCAATTGTTTTCTAATTACACACATTTTTTCTGAACTATGTATGCTTATATCTGTTCATATAACATTTTTTAAAAGATTAATCTATGTATTATGTAATCTATTAATTCAGATGATCAAAAGTAGTCAGATTTGTATTATTTAGTATTTGGAAACTCACATTTATATGAGATTCATTCATGCCTTGATTACTTGTGATATTAAGGGCCTATATTATCGTTGTACTCGTGTTCTTTTTTGTTTTAGTCAATAGAGTAGACATTCTAGAGTGTTCATAGGTGCATATAAAAAGTTGAAATAGTTCAGATTTCTAGAGTGACTGTGCAAATCGTCTATAGTATTATATATGAAAAATCTGGTACTATATATAAATTTCCTTGTATTGCAGTAGTGAGCTATGAATCCTGTGCAATGGGAAACTAATAGGACAATAGATACGGATACAGAGGGCTAGTTTCGCATATGCCGTCTCTGCCGTAGACGTGATATCCACCTATCAACCAAAGGGCAGGTGTACTGCTCATCAGCCCACTCCGTCCTCCTTTATGGCTGTGAGACCTGGCCATTGAGAGCAGAAGACATGAAAAGATTAGCCGCCTTTGATCATAGATGCCTGCGTTTTATCTCCCGCGTGAAGTGGTGTAATAAGGTGAACAATATTGGGGTTAGGCGTCGAGTGTGCTAGATAACGAGTGAGGGGAAATCAATCGACGAGGCTGTGAAACTACATCGACTGAGATGGTTAGGACATGTGTTACGTATGCCTAGTCATCACCTTCCTCGACAATGGGCAATGTTAGCTGACATAGGGTCAAGCTGGAAAAGAGCTAGTGGCGGTCAAACCAAAACATGGCTTCATGAGTCAATGAAATCTACAACAGTTAGTTTAAGCCAGCCACGTAGGAAGGTGTAGACTTCCTGGTTGGGGTCCTTAGGACGGTAAAAACCAATGGTTGGAAACAATTGGTGATATGGCTCGAAATCGTTCTCAATGATGGCGCAGATGCATCCACTCCTTGTGACTTATGATTTCCAATTGAACTGTTTTGTTCTTCGTTACTGGTATTCCTTTGTCTCACACCTCTGTTTACTGTCTCTATTTCGCACCCCTTCTACTTTCTTCTATTGCTTTGTGTGCTACATGGAGTGTGGTGACTTGAACTGGCGCACATCGGTGCAAAGTTCTATGTCGAATACAGACAGACAGACAGGACAATAGATGCTTTCATGCAATTCAAGAGTGAACTGGTTGACTGTACATTTTTGTTAGCTGGATACCATATTGTCATTATAGTTCCCTCAGGTTCCGAGCGGAACACAGGACTTCAGTAGCATATTGCCCATCTTCTTTCTCCCTACAGTTAGTTTTCCAAGTGACCCAGTCCATTACAATCAGGAAGTATCATCAGTGGTAGTAGACAGCTTTGTTAAACACTCCTACCCTCATTTTAAAGACTTCACCGAGGTTTTCCTTGTCAATCACTTGGCATGTGGTATCGTCGTATAACCGTTGAATTAGGTTTATGAGGACTTTAATTAAATGGCGATATCTTAAATATGATTCTTTGATAATCATTTTTCTTTCTTCGAAGTGTGAAAGGCTTGAATCAGCTGATTGTGGGAAATGTTTGTTTCCTCTGTTACTTTTTAATAAATCTTTTATTGTTATTGACTATTCATTTTGGTTGACTTGGCACAACAATGCTGCAGTTTCGGTTGCCATACTCCATGTAGTATGCAAAATTTAGGAAAAGGAGTAAGACGATATTCAAGACAACTGTGATGTACAGGAGAAGGAATAGTAACAGGGGAAACATCCTGAGAATTTAATGGATACGGGGATTACAAAGCGTGAATGTGAACGATTTTCAACCGTATCACTGAGGAATCCAACCAGGCAGTCTACACCTCTCCATATGACTGTCTGAAACCAGCAGTCAAAGACTTCACATGGGTACTAATGTTAGGTTTTAATTTGACCATTGCTAATTCTTTTCTGACTTAATCCCATGTCAGCTAACATTGCTCATCGAGGAAGACAATGTCTCAGTATACGCAACGTGTCCTAGTCACCTCCATCGATGTAGCTTGACAACTTCATTTCACTTGGTGATGGTCATCAAACCGCCTTTCATGTGTAAATGAATGTGTATCGTGACTTCTTCACTTATTTGCATTATGTTTTATCTTTTTTCTCCGCTTGTTTCTTTTTATTTCTCTTCTTCTTCAGGTTTATTCAGATTATCGATCGAAACGTGAAACATATCTAACTCAGCTGGAGAATTTAATTATTCAATTACCTGTATCCAATTATACCCTGTTAAAGCATTTATGCCAATTCCTTTATCGTGTCTCCATATATCAAGCTGAGAATAAAATGTCAATTGAATCATTAGGTATTGTATTTGGACCGAATGTATTTCGATTTACACCAGAAAATATAGTGAGTGCTTCCCCCATTGTGTATTTATATAAACTTATGTATTTTATTAAATACTTATACACAGCTCATAATCTTCAATGTCTGTGTGTGTGTGTGTGGGGGGGTCACTTTGATCTATTTTTTTGGCATATGCTGAAATCTAAATACGAACTATAAGTGACAGACATGGTGATATAAGAAAATGAAGAATTTTGGACAGAAGTGCAACAGCCCGTAAAAACCTCACTAAGTCAATGATGACTGAGTAAAAAATTTCAAATTCCTAGAGTGTGTTTGAAGGTGAAATCGATCTGTGTTATTTCTAGGAGTTTCTGATAATCAGTGTATATAATTTCAAAAAAGAAAAACAGACACTTCCAGCTTCCCTGTCGAGTTCTTTCTATTATAATTCACTGTGTTTAGACTTGGCTTTAAAATAATACTTTCAAAATGTTGATTTCTAGGGATTTGGTCACCAAGTGACTTCACAGTTAGACAACCACTGAAAACTAGGGAACACTGGACAACTGTTTCTTATTGGTTCAAGACTCCTGAGCAGTATGTGACTGTGACCTCATTAAAAGGTCGAACCTCCGGACCCTTAGTTTAACCTATGGCGAGCTCGTTGACCATTCAAGCGGCTGTGATGGATTCCGATGGCCCGTCTACTCCAACTTCTGGGTTCGATTCCCTGGGTGCATAATGCTGAAAAGTCCAAACTAAGGACGAAACACCTGTCAAGTACTCCGTGGCTTACAACGATTTGATATGTATTCGTGAATAGTCCCCAATCAGATATTAATGGGAAAAGCCAAACAATTAGTTCAGTCAAGAGGCTCACATCAACCAATTAATGTTCTTAGCCATAAAGTCACATTAATGTACAAGTTTTTTTCCCACAAAAGACATGAGTTGTCATAATCACAGTTGCAGATATAATCAATACGTAAGAGTGATGACGGAATAAGGCGGTTTGAGTTACGTAACAATTAGATTATTTATCTCATTGTAGAAAATACTGACTAGTTAGAGAGAGAGAGAGGTGTACATGTTTTGTTTATGCGCTGCCGAGGAGTGGTGTTCATTCCCATTGTTTGTTTGTTTTCATAAATATCATAGAGTTACTACTACTGTGTTGTGATTGAATACTTTTTAAATATTCTCAATTTGTATTATGAAGTAATCAGTTGTTATGATGTGCGTGTACACTGGTCAAATGTGAGGTATTTTTGCAGTACTCATGGAGAATAACTTAACTCGTCTTTATTTCTTGAATTTATTATCATTATTAGTTATTTATTTGAATTTCCCGTTGGTATCTGATGATAAATTCGCTTCTATTATGGATACACCGTAAGGTTAACATGTTTTTTTCTATAGTTTGGTTTGTAAGGGTTAGTTATGTTTTTACGAGTTGATCACGGATTGATATCAGTTAGAGAACCATTGAAAACCAGCACTTGAGTACTGGACAGCTGCCGTTTCATCCTAGTTTGGGAATCATCGGCAGTACGCACCCACTGGTTGTGTTAATTTCTTGATGATGATGACTAGCCAACAGAATCGAGAACATGAGTCAACAGAGACTGAGCATCTCAACCGGAAATTTGACTAATCATGATCATAATTTAATAAATGCATTAAACTGTATATGCCACTGATTGATTGGGTCGATTAGTTTCGTACCACTCATATCATCCTATAATACTTGCTCTTTGTTCAGATCGAAGTGTTATTGCTACCGGAAGGTTGCTTCACTCGTTTGAAGCTGAGCCTATCAGTGGTGTACTCGGTTAGACGTAGCTCTGAGAATTGAATCAGTCCAAACGACCCGGTTTCTGACTAGCTGCTTGGGCGAACTGGTAACACTGAAAAGATAGAAGACGAAGACACTTGGTAAAGGAATGTTTATTTGGAAATGGCCAAATTATGCATACCTTATCTTCGACGCACCATTTATTTGCCCAGATCCTCGTGTTGTGCTACTTCTGGCCTTCATATTGTGTTTCTTCTTTCACGTCTCCCAAGTGTCCCCGCAATGCCATATATCATTTGCTTTCTCTGACATCAAGTCTATCTTCCTGCTATTTGGTGTTTTTTTTTACGCCGATGAACATCACTTGGCATACTACTGATAAATCTTATCAGTAGCACACGCCACAATATCATAGATCGATTTCTCAATTTACACACTTCGATTAGGTGAAACTTCACCTCATTTTCCTTTGGAAACCGAAATAGTTCAATTAAGAATCTATTGTCTACTTGCGACCATAAATGGTAGTCACGACGAAAGCAACCATGAGACACTGATCGTTGATGTGAGCGGTACACAACTGCCTCATCTCAACCAACCAGTAGTAGTGTATGGATGGTGTTATGCCTTCAGCCTTGATTTCTTGATTACCAGATATGCTGTCAATCTTGTTTTCTATAGGGGACTGTGGTAGACTTTCACCTCCTCATTTAATAGTTATTTCACAGCAGAGGTTACAGTGTTTTTTAGTCCACTTTATAAGTGGATAATGCTTTTGCTTTTCAGTCGATATATATATATATATATATGCATGCCTGATATTACTCCACAATTACTAGTTCTCTCTGCAAAAATTTCCACTTTATGCAAATATTTTCATCATGCTGTGTTATATTATCTCTCTGCCTGTCACATGAAGAAACATTTTTTACAATTAGCAATGATTTACTAATGTATGTATTCACTAGATACTAATATTTTTTTTTGAAAAAAATTTCACCATCGTCTAATGTGCACAATGACAGTTTGTATTGTTTCATATATAATTGTGTGTGTATGCATTTGTGTGTGTGTTTGTATGGCATTAGAGTTGGTGTTAGACCAAAAATAAGGTGACATTTTTTAAAATTATTTCAGCTGTGATCGACATGTTTTGAATAACAATTGATATGCCAGCCAAGTGGAAATGCTTATTGTTGTCATGGCGTTATGAACCCCATAAGGCTTTAACTTTTCTTTCTTTTTGAACTCACTTTTATTGATATCAGTTGTAAATTAATTCGATATGACTTAAAACTAAAATCTGTTTGTATTATTATTATTATTTCCTTTAATTCCTAAAGGAACATAGGGCTTCAGCCGCGCGTCTCCATTGCGTTCGGTTCCCTGCTAGAGTCTTCACCTGGCTCCAAATCTACCCACATGCTTTCATCCCCTCTTCACATGACCTCCTCCAAGTCACCCTTGGACGACCAATTCGCCGCTGTTTGGTGGTGGCGGTATTGCTCGATTTAGCGTCTGCCTGTATTAATTAGAGTTATCTGAAGCAAACAGCGAAAATAGCACCGATTGTTAGTTAAGTCGAATATAGCTGTTGAAAAATCGATTGACAGAGTATACATTTTAAAAAACACAAAGAGTTATATCACTAGAATAATGCAGGTCGAGGCATCACCTTCTTCGTTAGACAATGTTAACCGAAATAGGAATAAGTTAGAAAAGATTTAATTTTCAAGTATTGGCTTTGTAGGGATTTTGTTTTAATTGGATGGAGGATTTCATCATGAGCTCAATGGTCTACGAGCTCCCTGGCCTTGTAACCAGAAGATCCTGGGTTCGAACCCTGGTGGTGAGTGCGTACTGATGCGGAGTCCCAAACTAGGACAAAATAGCTCTCCAGTACTCCGCGATTTTCCAGTGGTTCTCTAACTGATGTCAGCTCATGATGAAATCCTCCATCCAATCAATAAAAGAGTTAGGCATGGTTAAATCAGAAATGGACATCCATGCATGAAGTATTCTACAGTCGGTTTGAGCTATATGTGGGGAGGTGTAGACTACCTGGTTGGCATGTTCGAGTATGAACAAATCGCTAGAGACTGTTGGTGAATATATATCTAAAACTGATGGACTAAAATAACCACCTGATCGATAAAACTTTCAATGTAAAAAACCATATATTAGTGTAGAGCCGATGATGAAGAACTAAATGAAAATGAGTATATTTCTTGACTCAATTTGCTGTTTTTTTCTAACTGCGTTAATTGGAGTTTGAAAATTGTTGGTGTCGAAATCGTTCACAGTGGAGCAGATACTTGCATTCCTTTGTGGATCTTCCATATTCATTAAACCTTGAAGTTTTTTCCCATGTTATTACTCTTTCCTCCGTACACTTCTGCTCTTTTGTCTACATATGTGTGCTACATGGAGTGTGGGGACTTGAACTGCTACTCTTCTTTGCAAAGTTCTATCTTGAAACTCAGCCAATCAGGTTCATGCGGACGAAATCCAAACATTTGAACCCTGGTTAATGTTACTTCGTTTATATTTCTGGGATAATATTTTTATTTAAGGATAGAGTTGGAAATTACGAATTTTTCTTTTGTCTACACGTAGTCTAACCATTCATTGTTGTATGTTATTGAAGTAATGCTTTCTTTGGAGAACTATTAAAAAACTCAATATACTACACAGCTCTTTTGCCTTAGTTTGAGTCTTTTTTTATAAATTTCCCCTCAGCTACCCTGTCAGATTTTGAACCCAAGACCTTCTGGTTTTGAGGCAATTCTATTCACCACAAAAGCAGTAAGTTGTGAAGCTCCAGTGACCAATGAATTGTATGTATATTATTATACTTTTGGATTCTCATTGGAATTTAGAGCTTCAGAAGCGTATCTCCATTTTTAGCCTGTTCTCTGTACTCTTTTTTTTAAACCTGGTTCCACGATTGACCAGAAGCTTTCATTTCCTCGTCACACTGTCTTCTCCATGTCACCTTTGAAGCCACACCCAACTCGCTTACCAGTCGGGTTCCACTACTCTACTACCGCGCACATGATGTTACTCAACCATTTCTATTTTCTTCTGCATATTTGTTGCTCGATATAATGCCACCATCGATCAATGTTTTCAGCGAGTTCGTGTCCTCATACTCCGGAAAGTGCATGGCTCACTTAGTTGGTTTGTGGCATGATCTCCCTGGAAATCCATTGAGTAATTTATACGATGAGTGACTCTTTGTTTTAGGTTAACTACATATCAGATA